CTGTTTCTCACCTTTTGTTTCTTTCTGCTTTTCATCACTTTGTTTTTTTCTTCTTCTTTGATTATCTCTCCTCACTTTTTTCTTCTTTTGTAGAGGTTGCACTGTTGGTTTATTCCATTGTTCTTGTCTTTTTTTTTTGTTTTTGTGGTGCAACAATTTGTAGAAAACTCACGTGTCCTTCATTGGTTGTCCTTCTTCCGTTAATTCCAGCAACAATTTTCCTTGTCTGTTTTATTCATTTCCCGTTATTTTCCTTTTCTGCTCCAAGCCCCACGGGACATTTCGCAACAATCCGGGACCCTTTCAACTTCCCTGCTTCCTTCCTGTCCTGTTTCCTTTTTTTTTTCTTATATTTTTATTTTTTTTTTTATTATTTTTGTTGTTGTTGTTGTTGTTGACGACGGGGTTTGGGGCGGATTGGAGCTTTCCGGACTGTTCCACGCCTGGGAAGGTCGGATGCCCGGAGGAAGGAATGGAAGGAAGGACGGGTGTGGATGGGAGGCTCCCGGCCTCAACCCCCGGCCTCCACCCTCACACGGGCCTCCTCCCCCCCCCCTGTTCTCAGACGACCTGGACTCCACGGGGGCCGTCACCTACACGGTCGAGCTGAAGCGATTCGGGGGCCCCCTTGGCATCACCATCTCGGGGACCGAGGACCCTTTCGACCCCATTGTTATCTCCGGCCTCACCAAGCGAGGCCTGGCCGAGAGGTGAGCCCGGGACTCCCGCGGTCCTTGGCAGCAGCCCCGACATTTCCCCCTGTCATTTCGAGACCCCACAGTGGGCGAAGACGGTGGGGCCGTAGCCGGGTGTGTAGGAGTTCGGTATACGGGAATCCCGGCCCGGGCTGCGGCCCTCTGCCTGGGCGCCGGGCAGACTTCAACCTGATTAATTGAGAAACCCGCCCTGTGACCCCCCAATACTGGGCACTTGGGGGGGACCCCCCCAAAGACGGTCTCCCCTTCCCACACGCCCCCGGCCCCTTCTGCGCTCGCCGGGCCGCTGGCAAATGCGGCCGGAGGAGTCACCTTCCACGAATAAAAAAAAGGAGGCCGGGCCAGGTGGAGGCTCACGAGGCCCGTCGTGTCGGCACTCTGGGAGGCCGAGGAGGGAGGATCGCTCGATCGAGGTCGGGAGGTCGAGGCCGGCCTGGGCAAGAGAGAGACCCCGTCCATCTCTACTAAAAAAATTAGAAAGAAATTAAGGAAAGAGCTAAAAATATATAGAGAAATAATTAGTTGGGCGCAATGGCGCGTGCCTGGAGTCCCAGCTACTCGGGAGGGAGGCCGAGGAGGGAGGATCGGTCGAGGTCAGGAGTTGGAGGCCAGCCTGAGCAAGAGCGAGACCCCGTCTCTACTAAAAATAGAAAGAAACGAGCTGGAAAACTAAAAATATATATAGAAAAAAACGAGCCGGGCATGGTGGCGCGTGCCCGTAGTCCCAGCTACTCGGGAGGGAGGCTGAGGCGGGAGGATCGCTGGAGGCCGGGAGTCGGAGGCTGCTGTGAGCGAGGCTGACGCCACGGGACTCACTCCGGCCCGGGTGACAGAGCGAGACTCTTGTCTCAAAAAAAACCCCAAAACTCATGCAGAGGATAATCCCCTCCCCAGTCCCAGACTTGATACCTCTATTAATGCAACCCGAGGAGGTCACACTTTCTTTATGTTATGTTATTTTATTTTATTTATTTTTTGAGACAGAGTCTGCCTCTGTCGCCCGGGCCGGAGTGAGCGCCGTGGCGTCAGCCTCGCTCACAGCAGCCTCCGACTCCTGGCCTCCAGCAACGAGCCTCCCGCCTCGGCCTCCCTCCCGGGTAGCTGGGACTCCAGGCGTGCGCCTCCACGCCCGGCTCGTTTTTTTCTATATTTATTAGTTGGCCGATTAATTTCTTTCTGTTTTTAGTAGAGACGGGGTCTCGCTCTTGCTCAGGCTGGTTTCGAACTCCCGGCCTCGAGCGAGCCTCCCTCCTCGGCCTCCCAGAATGCCAGAATGACAGGCTGGCTAATTTTTTCCACATATTTTTAATTGTCCAGCTCATTTCTTTCTATTTTTTTTAACTAGAGACGGGTCTCGCTCTTGCTCAGGCCGGCCTCCAACTCCCGACCTCGAGCGAGCCTCCCTCCTCGGCCTCCCAGAGTGCCGGGACGACAGGCGTGAGCCTATTTTATTGTTACGTTTGTCTTTCCAGCGGGGTTCTGACTCTCTGTCTGCCCGATCCCCAGGACGGGCGCCATGCACGCCGGGGACCGCATCCTGGCCATCAACGGCACCAGCCTCAAGGGCCGGCCTCTGAGCGAGGCCATAAGGCTCCTCCAGGGGTCAGAGGTCACCGTCTCCCTCAAGATCAAGAAACA